GTATCAGGCAAGGAACAGGCAGGAGGCAGAGATCGGGAGACAGGCAGTGGGTCAATAACAAGAGATCGGGCATGGGTAAAGCGCTGGACATCTACTGGGTGAACCGTTCAATAATCTGGCAAAGGCTGAGTGAGGGAAGGGAGCTTAAATAGGAGAGAGGACAGGTGAGGCAGATGAGGCTGATTGCTGTGGCACAGGAGAGGAGGAAARGAGTAATCAGAGGAGCTGAGTGAGAGTGACAGAGGGGCAGGAACAGATGGAGCAGCCCAAAACATGACAGTTTGAGTTTTTTTTCTGTTTTTTAAATTATTGATTATATTTGTTCTCTGCTTTTAGTAATTTTGATCTCTTTAAAGCACTTTGTGACGTTTGTGAAAGAAATAAAGTTTACCTTACTTTACCTGCTCATGTTTAGCAATTTGTACAAACAGGAACATTATTGAAATAGGAAAAGTGTCATGTTTGTGAGGTTTATATAAAAAATTTGTAATTAAATTTCATTGTTAAGTTTTATCCTGTTTGAGATTACAAAATAGTTGTACACAAAGCTCAGATTGTTTAACATTTCTGTGTAAAGGTGCTGCCACACTATGACATTTCAGACAAGTTATGCCAACATGTGAAAATTTTAAAGGGGCAACATCATGTAAAATCAACTTTTTTTGAGTTTTATGTCATTTTATAATGTTATACTCTCATAAAAACATGCCAGAAACCCGTCCCAGAAACGCGTCTGGGACGGGTCTTTAAGCCGAACTTCCTCATCACGGAGCACACCTCCCCACCCCCCACCCGACACACCCCGCCCATGACTCCTGCAGGCTCTCTGCAGTAACAGAGCAAAAAAATGAGTGAAAGTGAAACTTAAACTGTCTGCTGCTCTTAACATTAGTTCTCTCTCAGTGAAGCTTTTTTCAGATTCAAAATACCTTTGAGGAAATGTATTTTCAGATGCCAAGTAAACTGCATCATAGCGCACACGCGACCCCCCCCCCCCACCGGCACTGAAATGGGCGGGACAGAAGTGGAAGGTGTTTCTTAAAGAGACAGAGGCCAATTTCAAGGCGTTTAGAAGAAGAAGTGATGAGAAGTTTATTTTATATTTAAATGTAAAGACAGCATTTTAATAACAACTAAAGGTGACATAGATACTTTATTGTGGTATACTATTTAAATATATGCCTGAGAAACACATAATATTGCCCCTTTATAGATATCTATGTTGAGAATGGAACTGAAAAAAATCAACTGGAAGCCTCTTTTAGGAGTGTACATACTGTAATGCCAATAAATAGATGAAATTTCTAACTTTTATTAGTAATTTAGTGATAATTTTTGTTTTCACAAGTTCTCATAAGTTGTCTAAAATGTTATAGTGTGACAGGGCCTTAAGTAAGAAAACACGTTAATACTCAAACCTAGGCACAAATTGTTGTACACATTTATAAAATATAGTTCACATTTGGGATTATTCCTCAGACAAAAATGTTTAAATAAAATAACAAGAGGTGAATTTACTGAGAATCTGGCCAACAGCTAACTTGGATTCCTCAGCAACCCTTTGAACTGTCAAACAGTCATTGTGATGAAAGAACATGAAAAACTGCAGCAACCACTTTGCCACAGTTTGACCTTTTCACACTATACATTAGTGAAACATGTGTTTTTTAACCATCTGATTCATGTTTTGGGGTAAAGTAAGAACATAAATGGAGTACCTGTTTAACATTGTGCTTGCAGCTGCACACCTCTATCATGGTTTCACCTCAGGCCGGTTGGTTCTGCTCACACTGGGGAGTCGAAGCGTCTGTCACACAGCATCTGGGAGAGCTGATCTTATTAGTGGGCTGGATAGGAGGACTGCTGAGCTGGACATTCCTCTGTGGAGGAGATAGACATCTTCCAGTGAGTAAAAACRTTAAACAATAAATCTCCTGAACAAAAGGAGCCCACAGAGAAGAAAACACGCCCAGCTCCTCTTAAAGTTTCTCACAAAACTGAGTCCTGTGGCTAAAAAGAGTTAAATGAGTTTCATACAAACTGAAACAACTATTTCAATTTGTCTTTTTGATTCACAAAACATATGGTGTCCAAAAACTATTTCTGTTTTAAATTTCAATAAAACAACATGGTCATTAATCTAAAAAATTGCTCCGTGTTGCACACAGGAGAGCTGCTGAGACTGCAGGGGGCTATTTCTAGCTTTTCTGGCAAGAACTGTGCTTTAACAAAAAGAAGTGCTGAAGTGTGACATCAATCATGGTCAGAAGTCAAACTCGCTCTCTTGAATCTTTAAGTACAGCAGCATCACAAACACCTTCCGAACAGTTTTTTATCCAGCAGATAAGCAGTGATAACTTACAGTTTTACATGCASTGTGTGTGTGCACGTGTTTCTGCTACAGAGTGAGGACCACTTGCAAAATAGTTACTATCTAAGGTCTTTGGTGTAAAGTGAGGATCTTTTCCTGGTCCTCGATTTTTTTGCAGCTCTACAAGTTAGATTTATTGGTATGGTGTGAATTAGCCTGGTCCTTGCAGCTCCGCTCAGTTCTAGTTTCCCTTCACTGCTCCGTCTGGGATTTCTCCCATAGACAAGGATTTCACCGGGAGCATTTCATTCGGGCCAATCAGAGAACAGAGCGTGGATTTTCTGCGCAGTGTCTGCTTGTAGTTTATTTTACCTGGGCCAATCAGCAAACAGAAGGCGGAGTTTTGAACGACATCGATTTTCTGCGCAGTGTCTGCTTGTAGTTTATTTTACCTGGGCCAATCAGCAAACAGAAGGCGGAGTTTTGAACGACGATTTTCTGCACAGTGTCTGCTAGTTAGTTTAACATACGGCAGTGGAGGAAGTGAATGAAGCCAGACTGTGTTGATAAGGCTTCCAAATTAAATTAAATTAAATATGTCTGACAAAGCAGCAGCTCTCATTTACAGTCGTCTCGTTTGGCTCTGTACTTCTCTCCTCTCAGTAGGGTTGTTTACAGCACACGCCATTTCCGGTTAGCTTCTTATCTTAGCCTCCTTCACAGCGACATACCGATCCAATCATTTTAAACGTCAGCAGAGGCCACACCTCCTGCAAGAATCACTTCTCTACAGCTGAGAGTCCAGACCCTCGTATGAAGCAAAGTGAAGGACAAGGGTCTGGTTTTTACCAGGCTAGGTGTGAATTATGTTTTGGTTCAGATTAGGGTGAAGGAAAATGTCTGGATTAGACATCAATGCAGTAAGAAAAAAGAATGGAAGTCAGTACAAAGTCCTCAGATGGATGCAAGTGCAAGGATGTGTGTGTGTGTGTGTGTGTGTGTGTGTGTGTGTGTGTGTGTGTGTGTGTGTG